GCTAATCAAATCAATCTCGAGGGAAAAAAAGGTTTTAAAAAAAGAAAGAGCTACAAACATGAACTTCTGCCGACAAAAAAATCGCACATGATGCAGGTCTGAAGCCCAAAGAAAAAACCCCGATAAGAAAGTAGTAACTAACTAAAAAAACAAAAGAGCTCAATACAGGTGAAACCCGCTCACTAGGTGTGTCTATATATATATATATATATATATATATATATATATATATATATATATATATATATATATATATATAAAACATTAGAGCATGATTTAATACAAAAGAATAATCACACATCCCTGACGATCCGTTTAGAAAACATAAGGTGAAACATCCAGGTAGGTTTGTCCTTGAAAAAAACTTGTTGTCTATAGGTTTTTCAGTTTATTTGATGGCTAGTACTTACGGACGGCCTTCCATATCATCAGGCATGTATTTGTTTATCTTATAAAATCAAAATAGTTTTTGATTTTTATATATATATATATATATATTTGATTTATATATATATATATTAAGACATTTTATGTTTAACATTCTTTTTATTTTTATAGATGCAAATGATCTGTTTATAATAAACAGTATTAAATAATATTTACCGGCCTGAATGTCCGAGAAATTTTCATAAAAAACATTCGTTCTGCGACAGTTTTCGAACCTGTATCCTATACGGAACCGTCATATAGCCTGGCGTGCTTTTACCGATTTTGTCACAGAGGATCGATCGGTTAGCAAGGTCGAATTTACTGCTTTTAAACTTCAATAATCCATGAATCTCTCGCGTACATGAATGTCTGCTCATGGCGTATCAAATGTAAACAAATGACGTCACACTTTACGAAATGGACAAAGTCCGACAATTATTTTAAGGCATGTTTTATGTTGAAAATTCATTTTATTTTTATAGATACAAATATTTAAGTAAATGATCTGTTTATAATAAAGAATGTTGTTTGTTGTATCTATAGAAATAAAAATAATGTTAAACATACAGACCCATTTCAGTTTGAGCTACGAGTTTGCTACTTAATCATTTCAGCTGGACAAGCTATTAGTGCCAGGCAAGATTATTGTTGTAGAGTGACCGAAGCGAACTAGCGAGCCAGCTGCTCCAAAGACTTATTGCAAAACATGATTTTATCAGCGTATCAGAATCAGAAGGTAACATGTAGACGACTTTTCTAGATGTTCGACGCTGATGTTATGACTACTGCATAATTCAGCTATAGCAAACTTGCGTATTAGTTAAACAAATATTTATGACAGCAGAACAAATATATATTTGATGATATAATAAAGAATTTTTCCATTTGCATGTGAACACGTTTTAACAATCAGCATCTTAGAGTAAATGATGCGGTAAGTGACCTTATTAATATTTGCTAAGTTTAGGTTATTCTGACCCAAGTCTAAATGCATAAATATTGGGTTGCAGCAGACACCATAATATGAATATCTCCCTGGCTTGCTAATCAGCGTCTCAAAAGACGTATCTCGATCATCGACTCCAGAGGTTGATAAGAAAAGCAGCACATACACACACACACTTATAAAGAGCTATGTAAAAAACATATAAACATGTATATATATATATATATATATATATATATATATATATATATATATATATATATATATATATATATATTAATTATATATACGCATGTGTGTATGAGTTTCTGTTTCTTTACATACCCATATAGGAGATATGTAAAAAGAAACATAAATTCACCTATATATATATATATATATATATATATATATATATATATGTGTGTGTGTGTGTATGGAACACGCACGCACACACACATATATATATACACACATATATATTTATAGATAGATAGATAGATATAGATATATATGAATTTCTGTTTGCCTACATACCAAAAAAGTATGTAAAAAAACTTAAATTCATATATATATATATATATATATATATATATATATATATATATATATATATATATATATATATATATATATATATATATATATATATATATATATATATATAAAATTAGGTATGTATAAATTTATGTTTTTTACATATCTCTATATTTGTCTTTGACTCATGAATGAAAGAAAGAATAACAGAATAATCTAAACTAAGTGGTTTATGTGTTGATTTAAGCCTGTTTTCGAATCTGTAGAAAAAGGAAAGACACGGTAGAAATGAAGGAAATATTAAATCCAGAGGAATCTGCTTAATGTCTTATTTCATTTTTAATAACAAAAATTGCAATAAACTAAAATGTCAAAGTTCAGTTTCTGTTATTTTGACAAGTCTGACATTCAAATTTTACGTTAAAAACACAAGGAACACGCTTCGTATTACACTCGAGATATTTTTGCACATGTAATACCTACCGATAAATCAATGTACATTAAATCATACATTCACGTTGATCGCCTATTTTGAAAAGTAAGCAATCATGAATTTCCACAAACTCCTTTTCTTTAATATTTCTGAACTGCCATCCGTTCTTTGGAAAGATAATGATGTACTGTACTATTTACTTGTAAAACGGGAATAGATAGTGGCTTGGAAATAGAAATTGAAGAGCAGAGTTAGAATTCTAATCGGTTCGTTATATTCCAATTCCCTTATAAAATGTATGAATCCATTTCTCGCATCAGCTGTTGACTACATAGTTCTACTAGTATCTGAAACAGTCTTTGTTATTCTCGGAAAATTTTTAATGCAAGATTCAGTCACAAAAATATATTATTCATATAATCCGAAAAAATGTTTCGTCTTTAAGTAACCAGCAAAGAGTTGATAAGCCGTAAAAATCTCGATTTGGAACACAGTTTTCCTTCATTAAGACTAAATGCTTTCCAATCCTAGACAGTCCAGTATATTCTGCTATATAATCCCTAACTGAAATGGAGAAGACATAGAGTTATATCTCACCCAAGCGTAACTGTGCAAAAGAATCCGCCTCAACATCGGCCGAAATTTTAACACGTCTCGATGATTAATACTCAAGACGAGAGCGATCATGTATCTTTGTAGCTCTAAGCAACGTGTACCCCCTTAAAATCCTTCTCGGTACTATTTATTTACACAAGCTTGTTAGGCAACGCGCTGTTCTCTAGTGTTCTATTTCCTTTCCATATGTCATGCATGTCAAATTTTATACGTCGTCTTTCTTCATGATGTCGCAGAAATATTAACTCTTTTTTTTATTCCAATTCTGCGCCCGTTTCCATTAATGTAAACTTCATCATTCCTCACATGCCCAGACAATGGTATTCTCAGCGTTCTTCTGTTTGATTTCTAAAGTTAAAACATCGGAACTGACAAGAGGCAAGGAATTTCTAGCTAACAATTCCTAATATTAATATTCAACACAATAACTCTATCTCCTTTTGTTCGACGTTATTCTTTTTTTTTTTTTGATATAATCAAAAGTTGGATCAATATTTTTTATGCCTTGAAAGTTAACAATCTCTAATGATTTAAGTCTTCATCTCTTGTATTATATACAATACAAATCCTGCTTGCCTGGCAATTGTTATAAATATAACAAAATGAACAAAGATTCTGTGATAATATTACAAATAAGACTGATTCGATATTTATTCAATAAAATCCAGACGACTTCAGAATAACCTGCATCTTTTCTGGATGGTCTCCTTCAATAAATTGGTGAATGTTGCCATAATCCTTGCCTTCACTTCATCTTTGGTGTTACAAGGAGTTTTGTTGGATTCTCTCTCAACTGCGCCCCACACATAATAATCAAGTGTGTTGCAGTTTGGAGAGTTAGATGGACAGATTTAAAGAGTGTTGTGGTCTCAGAAATTGTCTGACAGCCATGGCTGGGTTCTCTTTCTTGTGTGACATGGTGCAGAGTCATGTTGCCAGACAGAGGGTCTTCAAGCAGCCACCCTCTTGACCCAGGGAAGTACTACCTCCTCAAGGTACTTCATGTAGGACTCCGTGTTGAGTCAAAGGTCCTATAGGAAGATCAATGGACTCATAACTTCACCATCACTAGTGATCACTCCAAACACTTTCGTAATCACAATTAGACACATCCAACTGTTTCTGAATACTCTACACTGTCCTCAGATTGACACAACCTCTCTGAAATGTTCGTATTAGAGCTTCCGGCGCGAATACCAAGCAGTGAAGCATGCCGTTTCTAAATTTCTGGGGAAGTGAATTGCTTCATCGTACCCTTTGTCTAACAAACGGTGCCCAACTGAACCTACTATACTGTGCTATTGAAAAAAAAAAATCAAAAACAAACAAGGCGCATGCGCGAAATTATAAATATAAAATGACGACATTTTACCCATCGTACCCTGTATTACTCCATGGATTTATTTTTCCAAACCATTTCCTTTCTCTAATATTATACCACAGATATTACCTTGCGTTTGATGCTAAAATACTTTCGATTTGCAGTATACAAAAAACGAAAAAGGATTAAATTTATTTTCAAAATCTTTTACGCTGAGTACAACAAAATATATACTTTTACCTTGTTGTCACTATATATATATACTGAGAAGGTACTTTGTGCGGACAAAGAATTATTTTGGCGTTTGAACAACTGATTAATTTATTATGGAGTTCGCCCTAGGAAATACCATAGATCTAAATCTAATTTAATATCCATTAGGAACGTTTGATATATGACAAGTTGACTTGTCGTGACCCCAATTTATAATGGCTTTATACTAAGATATTCTCAAATAGGTTTTATTCTCGGGTACAATAAAGAACGTCAAATGACTTAGGTGCCTCGATGGTTGACCCAGCTGGTGATATCAAAGCCACCATGTACAGAATTTGGCGTCAAATGATGTCGGTGAGTGCAGCAACACTAAAAATAAAAGTAAATTTACAAAGCTGAAATTACGATACGCCCACTCAAGACAAATGAATGACAGGAATTTAAATAAACACAAATGTTAAAAGGTACATCGTAGAAACCCTCACATCATTGTGTAAATTTTGAGCATATATGTAGATAGATAGCTAGAGTGAAGGAAAATAACAAGGATAGATAGATAGATAGATAGATAGATAGATAGATAGATAGATAGATAGATAGATAAGAGATAAGACTGTGTGAAGCCTGATATAGATAAAGAAGAGATAAGACGATGAGAAGCCTGAGATAGATAGATAAGACGATGAGATAGATAAACAGATAATAAAGAGATAAGACTGTGTGAAGCCTGAGATAGATAAAGAAGAGATAAGACGATGAGAAGCCTGAGATAGATAGATAAGACGATGAGATAGATAAACAGATAATAAAGAGATAAGACTGTGTGAAGCCTGAGATAGATAAAGAAGAGATAAGACGATGAGAAGCCTGAGATAGATAGATAAGACGATTAGATAGATAGATAGATAGATAGATAGATAGATAGATAGATAATAAAGAGATAAGACTGTGTGAAGCCTGAGATAGATGAAGAAGAAACAATACGATGAGAAGCCTGAGATAGATAAAGATGAGATAGATAGATAGATAGATAGATAGATAGATAGATAGATAGATAGATAGATAGATAGATTATGTTATGTTTAAATACTAAAACTATGTTTAAAGAATAAGGCTGGAAATGGAAACAATAATTCGTTGTAAGATGGAAAGAAAATAGACACGAAAAACGACTCAAATGTTTTCTTGGAAATCTTTCTGAAATATAATAATAAATATCTGATCCACTGGAGTTCAGAAAATTCATCAGCATATAAAACAGAAGAAAAATAAACGCAATAGAATTGAGTGCTTAATTATAGTATTGTGATAAGATTGTATCCCGATTCGATGACTGGCATTCAGCATCAAAAAAAAGGTAAGATAAGATAAGAAAATCAAGAAAACGCTTTTGATAATCAAAGAATAATTCTGCTTGCACCCCCTTCGTTAGTTAGTTCCTTAGATCACACGACCGTTACGCTCTGTCAATACCTCATAAATAATGAGTAATTCCGTTTGACCGCGTGAAAACACGGAACTGACATATAAACGCAACTTGGTTTCAGTGAGAAAATGAAAGAAAGGAAGAAGAAAAAAGAAAGATGGCTTGATAGACGTATTTAACGTCTGTTTCCGTGATATAGAAAAAATTGTCAATTTCAGATCATTTCATTTGTATACACTTGCTTATAAATTAATTTATTAATAAATATGTTTACAAGTTAGGTTTTTGGTTTGTAAAAGTAATTCTATATGATCAACAATATTCTCTTCGATTAATCATTAATAATTCATTGTTTCTTTAAGAAAGAATCAAACCTTAGCAAAATATACAAACTGAAATAAGGATTCGAGTATGCATTTTAAACGGGAGTGGTTATTTGTTTTCATACATTTTTTTGTAATTCCCGAATAACAAGAAAAAGAGTAATATGTTTTGTTTATTATCAAAGCGACGGATTCTGTTATCTGAGACTTGACAAGTGAAGCAACGAGAAACTCTGAGTTGATTTTAGATAACTATGACGACCTTTTCGATACAATTATTATCGTCATAGCTATCCAGACATATTTTTCAGATCCCCACAATTTGAATTTCAAAGTGAAGAATTAAAAATAAATCCAGGTATTTTTCTGCATTTATTTTTTTTTAATTCAGCAAAATAAAATCGAAATAAATAAAATCTATAATTACTTAAATCATTTTTAAAGTATTTTTAAAAAAATAATAACATGAAATATAAGCACCTAAAAATCGAAACAATATAATTTTCTGTAAAAGCAAAACATGAAGTTTTGCTAAATTTCTCACAGCAAACAGTGATACTCAACATTGGAAAGAGTCACTTACCTACAGTCCCTGTTATTCGGTTTGGGCGTAATCCTTTGGCTTGTTCCACAGTGGCACTGATGCGGTTCTCCCAAGGTTGGAATAGGATCGTTGTCTGTATACATCCAAGATCCTGCAACGATATGGAAACAGAAAATATTATTTTAACCTGTACCACAATTATAATCTGAAGCTATTCCTGCATAATATACAAAGAAATGTTCTCTCTCATCACACACACATACACAAAGATACAGACAGATACACACACGTATAAACACACAGAACCATTCTGAATTGTTGTAAGATCGTGCAAACGATGATAGATTTTGAATATGCCAAAACTGAATAAAAAGGAAATCATAATTTCCAAGAAATCATTTCCCGCTATGCGGAATTTTGCTACTGCGTTTAAGGATTAAGAACCAGGAAAATTTGTTTAGAAACTAAGAAACTAGAAACAATGAAACTAGCATTAAAATGTCATGTAGTATCGGCCCTTCTATAAGTCGGTGAATTTAGGCCAATGTCCTCAGAGATAAAAAAGTGACTTGAGACAACAGAAATATAGTTGCAAAGAAGAATGCTGATAATCCCATGGACTAAACATATAAGCAATGAGGAAGTTTGAGGGAAATCAGAACAATTATAATTAGAATCAGAAAGAGACAATTAATATAAAACATAAGAGGTAGTCTTGGAGAATTTGAAAC